CGTTTTAAACGGGCGGGTAACGGGCGGGTTAACGGGTTGGGTAAAAAATTGCCAGGTCTAGATGCGAACAAAAACACCTGGGAACAAAATAAGCCAGGCGGGGGAATCATCTTTTAAATAACTTAAAATAATAAATTTAATTAAATACGTATAATTTTTTAGATTTAAATTAATAAATATTTAAAAAATAATATAAGATAAATTCACCAAATATGATAATAAGAGAGAACTCAATTTTAAACTAAATATACTATAAAATAAATCTTAAATATAATTTAAATAAATATAAGATAAAGTATTAATCTTTCGAACATACATTGTAATGTACATACACAGGTTCATTTAATCTTTGATACTTCAATATTTTTTTGTGTGTATTTTTTCAAAAACACTCAAATTTCTTTCACAACTTAAAGATGATGAAATTTGATTTAAGAGTTTAATAGTTAAATTTTTAAGAGATGGAGCACTGTATGCAAAATATTTTCATCACTCATCCATTAAAATAACAAGGAATATATAAAATGTTAGAAAAATTTATAATTAAAAATATTTTTTTATAAAAAATATTAAAAATATAAATTAAAACTTGAAATCTTACAAAATTTCATAATTTTTAAAAATTCAAAAGCACTTAAATGAGTAAAGTTCTCCAATCTCTTCTCATACAATTTATTTATAAGTTTGAAATTTTATCATATTCAAGTTGTGAAAGAAATTAGAGTGTTTTTGAAAGAATACAAAAAAAAAAAAAGATTGGAATATCAAAAATTAAACGATCCTGTATATGTACATTACAATTTGTATTTGAAAAATTAATACTTTATTTAATATTTATTTAAATTATATTTAAGATTTATTTTATAGTAAATTTAGTTTAAAATTGAGTTCTCTTTTATTATCATCTTTGGTGAATTTATCTTATATTATTTTTTTAATATTTATTAGTTTAAATCTCAAAAATTATACATATTTAATTAAATTTATTATTTTAAGTTAGTTAAATGATGATTCCCCACTTGGCTTATTTTTTTCGTAGGTGTTTTTGTTGGCATCCTGGCAACAAAAAAAAAAACAAAATGAAAGTATGGGGTCTGAGTAAGCGGGGAGGCAAAGTGGGTAAAGTGGTCCCATTCTTGGACATGGCAGCACATGTGGAAAAAAAAAATAACAAATGGGTTTAACTGCTGACCGTTTAAGACTTAACGGTCAGCAGTGATGGCAACATTAACGGTGTTAGGGGAGGGACGACAACGAACAAAAAAAAGGAAGTAGAGGGACGACGTTTTAGCTCTTTGGTAGAGTAGAGGGACGACAACGAACATGTCCTTAGTAGAGGGACAAGAACGAATAAAATATTAAAGTAGAGGGACGATAATTGGCTTTAAACCATAAATATTGAGACAATTATTGCATTGTTGTGGTGGCAAAGAATTGAAATAACAGTCCTACTCCGCGTCGCGTGAATACTAAGCAAAGGAAGATCAAAGGAGGGGTAGATAGAAATGGAAACATTTCTCCTTCACTTCTCTCTCTGGCTTCTAACAACAAAATTCACTGCTGTTTCCTCCCCTCCCCTCCCCTCTCTCTAGAACTCAGATCTTGTGATTTTCTCACCTTTTATCTTTGAGAAGATGAGGAAGTCTGTAAAGAAAACACCTTCTTCTGATGAAAGTGAAGAACTGAATGTCCAACAGCCGGAACGGCCTGAAAGTTCCAGATCCAGAAGAGGTCGTAAATCTGAGCCACGCGGAAGTGGAGAAGAGATGGTAGAGGTTCGAGGGAAGACTAAAGTTGAGGGTTCTTCCCACCAGCCAGATGAAGGAGGCCGGAAGAGAAAATCAGGGATAAATACGGATATCGATGATCTACGGGTAAACAAATGAGTATTCAATCTCTATTTTCATCTTCTTAATCTATGATTATTTTTGTTTCCCTAATTTTTATATTTATGTTCCTGCACATTTAGATTCAGCTGGGAGACCAAATGAAGAAACTGAGACGTGGAGAAGAAGAATTGCTAGAGGAGAACAAGAGACTTAAATCTGAGATTATTGCTCGGCGGCAGGACATACTAGGAATGTTAATGTTAACGGTAACATCTCTTCTTCATCTCTTTTTCTCTTCTATTTATGGATAGTAGCAAAATGTTTTCTTTCTCTGGATTTTTTAAATGATTCTTAAAAGTGATGAATGGAATGCTATCAGTTGCTTTATAATTTTTTAGGCCCTATTTAGTATGATTGTAGTGTTTGGTTTTTATATGTTTTGCAATTCTAAACACAAAACTCGTTTACTTTTATGTGTTTGTGCAGCTGATTACTAGAAATATAAGAATAAAATAGTTTAATACTATTAAACAAGTTTACATTTTTTGTTATCAATGTTAAAACTTGTCTTAAACAAATCGTTAATTTTTTATTTTAGTTTTGGTTTTTAGTAGTTGCAAAATTTATGAAAGTTAAAATTAAAAACCAAAACCACAACTATATTAAACGGAGCCTTAATTACTAGGTAGACCTTGTTGTGGGAAGAAAAGAGAGAGGGGAAAAGCTAGGCACATCTTATGTTTTGCATGATTACTCTACCTGTTGAAATGGGTGGAAGTAAATTATCAACAATTCTTGAAGTCTGCATCTCATATTTTTCTGTTTTCTATTTGTAAAATGGCAGGAGAACAGTCCAATGCACGTGGATAGTCCAGTCGATCCTATGGAAATAGATCCTCCTGAAGGAAATGTATGACAATGCACATTTTCATTGCTTGTGGATGGAAATAAAATTATCTGCAACTTAGGCTCTCTACATATCAATTCTTAGTTCTCTATTTCTGGCATTGCAGAAGAATATGTTGGACTGGAGATTTAGCTGACTACTTTTTTTTATGGAGTGTGATAGTTCTTATTTGATGCGCATCTTTTATTGTTTATAAATGGAAATAAATTATCTGAAATGTTTATGGCATTGTAGGAGAATATGTTTATGATGATTTATCTGGTGCGAAACTTCTTGATGAGTTATGATAATTCTTATCTGGTGCACTACTTTCTTTTTGGTTGTAACACTGGTGTGCTTCTTGGATGCAACTTTGATAGTGGTTGTATTTTTTTATTTTTTACCTCGAGTTGTACAATAGGAAGTCACTCTCTCGTATTTCTTAACTCACCCGGTCCGCATACCTTATGACTTAAATTCAAGACTCTTTACTTTCACTTTCATTGGGAGGAGATTATTATTGAGTTGCTTAAGTCATTGGCTTGATAGTTGATCTTTTTGTCGTGGCACTGCAAAATTTCCCCATTTAGTAGGTTTTTAGAATAAGGACCGAATTATTGTGGTACCATCTGTTGACAATTTCTCCTTATTAATGGGGCTACTTACGCACTAATTACTCAGGGTACAGAAACTTCACAAAATGAAGTGTTGGAGTCTGCCATCATCCAATACCTGGATCAGTTGGAGGAGATGAAAGCTACCAACAAAAATTTGACAATGGAGAATGGAAAGCTGGACTCTATGCTAGCTGCTCTTGATAAGAGATTGAAGATGCTAAAAAACCTTGATGAGGTAACATTTCTCTCTGGTGTCTATCTTCATCTCTAAAAGTGCGTCCTAAGAGATTTCTAAATAATTTTACTTATAGAAAACAAGCTGATTCTTCAATATGTTCTGGACCAATTGTGATGCACCACTTTTGATTGTTGATCTCTCATTTTCAATTACTAATTCTTTTCCTTATTTATGTTTCAGACTGATAACAAAATTCCTCACAATGAAGAACTTGCAACAAAAAAGCATGTTACTGCAGGTATAGAACTTCCCAAACTGAAATTTCATATGATAATGATGTCCTGGAAAATTATTGTATTGAAGAACTTGATGCTAGTAACTCATTTTTCCAGACAATAGCTAAACCTGTTTTTTCCTCATCACTTGCAGGCAAGGATATCACTGAGGCCAAGAGGATGCTGGGAGGCAAGCTAAATGAGGCGCAGAAGGAAAAGCCCCTAATGGCAATTGTTTCCTCTGCAATGGTCCTCATTGATTATCTGCTTTCAACTGTTGGGAGTGCTAAAGCAAGGGAGGCCACCCTTGACGAGCAAGCCTCTACCTCAGCCTTGGGTATAAAGGGTACAAAGGGTACAACTGATGTTCCGAAGCTTGTGAAGGTTAATCTGCAGAATTAGTCCTGTCTCCTTCATTCCTTCTGCTTTATCCTTATTTTCTTTTAACTCATTTTGAATAGCAACTCTTCCTCTGACTTTACCAGATTATTTGGGAGGCTTGTGATTCGTACCTTGAAGAGGAGAAGGCCAGTCCCGGCGCACAAATAGAGTCTAGAGCTGTGAATGCCGAAGAGGAGGACAATGCCAGCCAAGCTGAAGAAACTTCAGATGACGATAACTAGGGAGCGGCCGTGGCTGGGCTTGCACACGATGGCACAATCCCAGCAAATGCAGCCTTTTAAAAGTACATGATATATAGTTATACTTGAGATAATTTTCAGATGACAATAATTTTTGTTTCTTAGGTTTAGGTTGAGCATGCTGTTTATAGAACTTTTTATGGAACTTTTTATGACTTATATGGTTGGTAAACGAGCTTGTGGATTTTCAGGACTGCCTGGCAGTCCTGGGATCATCGCAGCCGTCCATGACGTTGGTCTCATTTGAAAATAACGTTTCTGTTGGTAAACTATCTATTCTTATTTTTTAAAAAAGATATGTAAAAGTCAACTTATCTAAAATTAATGAAATTTTTAAATAATATAATAAAAATTTTAAATTGTTTTTTGTACACTATATATATTAATTTTTTAAAAAAGATATGTAAAAGTCAACTTATCTAAAATTAATGAAATTTTTAAATAATATAATAAAAATTTTAAATTGTTTTTTGTACATTATATATATTAAATTATTAATTAATTTAATTTTAAATAATAATATGTTTATTGAGTAATTTTATAGTAAGTAGTTATTTTAAAATATAATTATTAGATATTAAAATATTTTTTATGGTAGTATAACATAATATTTTTAACAATTATAATTATAGGACATCAAACAGTTGTCGAATTAAGTTTTAGGAATTATTTTTTCATGGAGGGTTAGTTGTTTAAAAATACAGTTTGAAGTTTTTTCTTTGATCCTAAATTAGTTTTTTATGTTTATGAGTATTAATTTGATTAAACTCTTATTAAGGAGAATTAACGAGAATTATATATGTTAACATTTCCACTACTTTTTGGGGTTTCACCGGTAAATTTTATATTTTGAGTTTAGTTTTTTTATTTTTATTTTTATATTTTGTGCAATTCAATTTGTATAACATATTTTATATTTTATTTTTTGGTTATTTATTTTATACTATTTTCATTTTAGTGCTTTTTTCATTTTTCATAAAAAAAAAAACATTAATTTTTTAAGGTAAACGCATGTGGGATGTGGGTCCAATACGTGTCTACCTTCAAAAGATAGGATTTTTTTCCCCTTATGCCCTTATCATCCAACTCAAAAATCTTTGACAACATCCATTATTCTGCAATTGATTCAAGAGTCACCCTCAAGCTTCCACTAATCTGCTACTTTTCTTCATTTCTTCCCCTTAAAACCCATTGTTCATTCTATCTTTGCAATTTGAAGTAATAGAAGAGATAAAAGTAAAAACAACAAAATAGAGGAAGAAAAAGCACTTCTATTGCTAGAATCAAAAAAAGATGATTACACATATTAAATTGAATAACAACTGCCTACTTATAATAGATGGACAAAGCAAAAACTCCTATTTTCTAGCCACTACAAACTGAAACCTAAAAACAAGGAAATGTGGTTATCAGTAGCCACAATAGTAGGACGCAAAAAATCCACTAACTAGGACTCATTCAAAACAATTTGCTTTAGAATCGAGATTAAATCCAACATCCCCACCTTAATCTTGATTCGATAGGGCAGATATTCCCATCATACCTTTCAACTTGACAAAGGCTTCATACTTCAAAGGTTTAGTGAGGATATCAGCAACTTGTTTCTCAAACTTGCAATACTTTAACTCAATCACCCCAGTCATTGTCAGAATAACCTACAAGAGCACAATTGTTAGACGAAGAGTAAAATAGACCATGATCAAAAGTGCCCTTTAGGTACCTCATAATTCTCTTGGCAACTTACAAATGAGATTGACGAGGAGACTCCATAGACTTGCTAATCAATCTAATACCATAAAAGATGTTACGTCGTGTGCATGTGAGATATACCTCAAACTCTCCCAACAAGTTGCATGAAGAAAGTGCGATTAACATGTGCTTCATCACCTTCCTTGAACAACTTAGTTCCAACCTCCACAGGATTTCTTGCTGGATTGCAATTCTGCATATGAAACCTCTTCAATAGTTTAGAAGTATACCTCTTTTGATAGGTAAAGATCCCATCTTCTCTTTGCATCACTTTTATACCCAGAAAGTAAGACATTAAATAAAGGTTTGTCATCTTGAATTCATGCATCATAGACTTCTTGAAGTCTTCAATCATTTTGGTGTTGTTGCCTGTAAATATTAGATCATCAATATAAAGGCAGAGTATCAAAATATCGCCAAATCCATTAAGCTTCACATATAAAGCATGTTCAAAAGGACATTTCTTGAATCTAGCCTTGAGAAAGAATGAATCAATGCACTTGTTCCATGCTCGTGGTGCTTGCTTCAAACCCTAAAGTGCTTTCTTCAATCTATACACTTGATCTTCACTTTTTCTTTCATGAATCCTGGTGGTTGCTTGACAAAAACTTCTTCTTCAAGAGGACCATTCAAGAATGCTGACTTCACATCCATTTGATTAATCTTCCATTGATTTTGTGCAGCCCAAGCTATAATGAATCTAATGGTCTCCATTCGAGCTACTAGAGAAAACACCTTCTAATAATCATGGCCAGGACGCTGTTCAAACCCTTTTGCCACCAATCTTGTTTTATGCCTTTCAATCTCTCCATTAGACTTCATTTTTGTCTTGAAAACCCATTTGACATCAATTGCTTTTTGACCCTGTGGTAAGTCAGTAAGCTCCCCATGTGTTGTTCTTCTCAATTGCCTTCAACCCCTTAAGCATGGCATTCACCCATTTAGGATCTTAAATGGCTTCTTCAAAAAAATACGAGTTCTAAATTTGCAAACATGGAAAAGTGCACCAGATTTCCATCATCATCAGTAGCATCATCAGATGTTACCTCATAATCCCGTAAAGTAATTGGTGGTTGTCTTTGTCTCCTCAATCTTCTAGCTTCAACAAAAGAATGTGTCATGGGATTTTTGGCGTAGTAGAACTTGGTGCAATAGAACTTGGTGCAACAGCTTCTTCATTAGTAGTGGTTGCTATAACTTGAGAATCTTCTTCAAGAATAGTGACAGAGTGCCTTTGGGAGTCATTGTTTGTATCCAAATCCCACCTCCCAGCTTCATCTGCAGTGAAAGTCACATCCTTACTTACAATCACTTTTTTAGTCACAAGTTTGAATAGCTTGTGTCCTCCACAAGTATAGCCAACAAAGATGGTCTTCTCTCCATGGTCATCTAGCTTTGTCCTTGTTTTTGCCAACACATGAGTAAACGCAATAAAGCCAAACACCTTAAGATGCTTCACACTTGGCTTGAAACCACTCCATGCTTCTACAGGAGTAATATTTTGAAGACTTCTTGTTGGAGACCTATTTAACAAATAAACAAAATAGGAAATAGCTCCACCCCAAAAAAAATTCGGCATTCCCTTGGCTTTTAAAATGCTCTTCACCATGTCCATTATGATTCTGTTCTTCCTCTTTGCAACTCCATTGTGCTATGGAGTGTAGGGACATGTAACTTGATGTTATATTCCCTGTTCTCCACAATAGTCATTAAATTCATTGGAGGTATATTCACCCCCACCATCAGTTTGTAAGGTTTGGATACAATGGCCACTTTGTCTTTCAACATGAGCCTTAAACTTCTTAAAACAACTCAAAACTTCATACTAGTTTTGCAGAAGATAAAGCCAAATTTTTCTAGTAAAATCATCAATGAGGGTAAGGAAATACCTATTGTCACCAATTGATGTAACACTCATTGGGCCATAGACATCAGAATGAACAAGTTCCAATGCCTTTCGTGCATGCCAATTCTTTCCAACTACAAATGGTAACCTGTTGTGTTTTCCAAGAGTACAAGCTTCACGCAATTGTCTTGGATGATTTATGCTAGGCAAGCCTTTCACCATATTCTCTTGAGCAAGTAACTTCAAACTACAAAAGTTTAGATGGCCAAAATGTAGATGTCGTAACCAAGAATCATCTTTTAAAATAGCACTAAGGCAAGTGTAAACCTCACCAACAATGTCAACTCGAAACATACGATTTTTTGATAGGAGAGCCTTAAGAATAAGTGTACCCTTTACATTAAAAATGGAGAGTTGATTATCACGTAGGAGCATGTTCTAACCTTTTTCCAGCAATTGACCCAAGCTAAGTAGGTTGCTCTTCATATTTGGCACATAGAACATGTCTAAAATATAATTATGATCTCCATTCTTCAGCTTAATGAGAATTCTCCCTTTTCCCATCACTGGTATAATGCTCTCATTTGTAAATTTGACCTTGGATCAATACGACTCATCGAGATCAACAAAGAACTCCTTACCACACATATGATTAGTACATCCAGTGTCAAGAAATCATGTGTGATAGTTCAATGCCTCCTTTTTTGATGTAACCATCAAAAGAGCATGATCTTCACTGTCATCTTGCTTTTGCACATAATGAGCCTTTTGATCATTCTCCTTATACCTGCACTCACTTGAATAATGACCATGTTTATAACAAGAATAACACTTAACATGAGATTTGTCATACCTTCCTCTACCATGTCCACAACCACGACCACAATCTTTTGTATTTTGTCAATGGCCAAAGTTTGATTTTTCTTGGTCATCACCACCTATTCCATAATTGTTGTTATGATCATCGAAACCTTTGTTGAAGTAAAAACCACGTCCTCGTCCTATACCACAAGAACCACCATGCTTTTGACTTGTTTCATCACTTGATCACCTTTGATGGACACTTGGCTTTGGAAGGCTTCTCTGTTCGTTTTTCATTCATTTTCTGTTCATGTGCTTCTAATGAGCCTGACATCTTTTCAATAGTCATTTGGGACAAATCATGGGCTTCTTTTATTGTTGCCACAATGTGCTCAAATTTTGGTGTGAGTGTCCACAAGATTTTCTCCATTTTCGTCTGCTTTTTGTACTCCTCTCCATATATTTTGATTTTATTTGTCAAAGCAAGAACTCGACTGACATAAATGGTGGTAGTTTCAAAAGACTTCATTTGTAAGAGCTCATATTGGTGTCTTAAGGTTTGGAGTTTTACCTTCTTAACTTTCTCCACACCTTTGTACGTTGTCATCGAGATATCCCATGCTTGCTTTGATGTAGTTGCATCTTCAATCTTCTCAAACACTTCATCATTCACCCTTTGATGGATGAAATATAATACCTTCTTATCCTTTTTCTTGCTCTCATGATGGGCATGCTTTTGGGCATCATTTGCATTTTCTGCAAGTTCAGCAACTCCAATCTCCACCACACCTAACAACTCGTGGTAATTGAAAAGCACCCTCATTTGGACATTCCACTTGTTGTAGTTCTTCCCATCCAAGATAGGAATTGAAATTTGATTCGAGCCATTCATTGTGTAAGGCTCTGATACCAATTGAAGTAATAGAAGAAGTGAAAGTAAAACAACAAAACAAAGGAAGAAAAAGCACTTCTGTTGCGGGAAACAAATAAAGATGATTACACACATTAAACTAAATAACAACTACCTATTTATAATAGGCAGACAAAGCAAAAAATCCTACTTTCTAGCCACTACAAACTAAAACCTAAAAACAAGGAAACATGGCTATCAAGTATCAACAGCCACAATAGTAGGATGCGTAAACTCCATTAACTAGGACTCATTCAAAACAATTAGCTTCAAAATCAGGATTAACTCCAACATCCAATCATTTTTCTCATAAAACCTATTAAAAATATTTACGATTCATAATTTTATGGTGATTTGGATCTGGGTTTGTTCGAAGAAGGAAGCTTTACCTAAATTTCTTCCTTTTCCCCCAATTTCGTTGCCCTCCCGTTTCTCCCCTTGCTCCTTTTTTGTCATATAACATGAAGAATGGATTGGAGTGTGTGGTTTACTTGAGTGAGTATGAAGAAAGGGAGGAAATGAGGCTGCTATTGTAGTGTTTTGAATCACACCCCACATGTTCGATTTGTTGGAATATTGTAACTGGTGAGCATGAGAATTGACAGAGCGAGCATCAAGGAAACAACGGTGGTGCTTGCTACGAAGATGGCAAGTCCCACCTCCACCTCCTTTGCATCTTATATTTTTCTTCTCCTTGCCTTTCAGACCTAGTAGTAGCAAACGGTAGGGATGCTGGTTATTGATGTTCCCATGAATCTCAATGAGAATTTGACACAGAGAGTCAAAGTCTTCAAGAGGCACATGAGAATCAGGACTATCAAGGGTTGATTATGGTAGTATTACCAAAATCAAAAATCATATAATTACAATGTCATGTTTCATTATCAACTTCTTGCATTATCAACTTAAATATAATATAATGTCTTATTATATAATTAACTCTTTATACTCAAAGATCTATAGATAATATTATATATATTTATTAATTTAATAACATGTAATAATTGTAAACTTACAATTCTATATAATACTATAAATATGAAAAGTAATCTTACATGATATTGTAAATATAGAAAACAATCTTATATGATATTATAAATATAGTATTATTGTACATCTTCTAAGGGACAACCTAATAATTAAGAGTTTAAATCTCTATGTTGATCTCAAGTTTAAATTTTCAAATGACTGAAGAAGAGTTTAGGAAGAGAAAGGCAACCTCCTGTTATATAATCTATTATCTAAATTCAAGTCTAATTCAGACAGTCAAGCCATTAATAACCACATAATAATAACACTTTAAAATTAAAACCCCAAAAAAGTATATTTAGTCTTAACTGTATTGCACAATACAACACTAATAATTAGAATAAATGTAGATCTCTTAATAGTAAGGGCTATTTTTTATCTGATAATTTTTATTTTGTAACCTATTATAGTTTAAACTGTAACATAATAATCTTAAAAAAAAAGAAAGAAAAGGAAACAATTTTGAAACTAATAATTAGAAAGCACTTCTATGCCCTACAGAAGGGTAACTACCAACCAACTTTGATTCGCTCGAGAAGTAAAAAAGATGTTGCAATGGAGATACATTGGCTATGATTCTACTGATGAAGTTAGGTTTATCTAAGGTTGCTTTTGTTTCATTCATCAAATTAGGGGAAGATACTTATTACTTGGAATTGGTAAATTGGAGTACAAAGAATCTAGCTTAGTCCAGGAATGCATCCCAACAACAAACCAATTCAACTCATGTTGCTTACTTGGGATAAACTATTTATTATTAAATAAGCTAATGTCTAGACTCCTCATTTTTAGCAACTTCATCTTGTTGTCAAATTGCTCCAAGGAATTACAAATGCACAAAATTACAAATAACAATTCAGACAACTGCCTAGTTTGATACAAGAAAGCAATCTCGTTGACTTGAACTTGCTGCTAATTGAATCATAGCTTAGGACATTAACAACTGCAAAATATTAGCAAAATGAGAAAGGAGATCACCTTAGCTTTCCAATTGAGTGGAAAGAGAGTATGTTGTTTTGTTGCCAAGAAAAGTAGACCATATATTCTAGACTTGAAAATACTGTTTCCGTATAATTCCATTGTGGGAGGGGATGATAAAAGCTTTTGGGCTATTGTAGAAATATCTTTTAGTGTGACTTCTTAATGTGTTGGGAATTTTGAGCACCACAATCCCACGCAAATAGAAGCAACAAAGAAATGGAGACAACAATTTAACATGATTCGACTTGTAGACCTCTTAACAAGTCTACATCCATAGAAATGAGAGAAATAAATCCACTATTAAAAAAAAGAGTACAATAATTTAGAAGCTCTCTCACTCAAGAAACTCTCAACCCTTAGCTTCAATATATAGAAACTTCCAAATTCTCCCTAATACTCTTTCTTAATCTACACAAGGATTATCTCACAATTTCTTTCTTTCTTTCCTCTCACAAGAGCACCCACTCACTTAGCTCTTCTCTTGCTTGCCCATTGCTTTTGCATGCATGGGTATTTATAGTGAAAAATCCAACCACCCATTCACCATTTTTCTTTGCCCATTAAATGGGTCAACATGCAATTTTGCATGATTTCAACAAAGCAAATGTTAGCCCACAACTAGTTGGGTTGGTGAAGACATTTCACTACATGGAAAGTCCATGTGTTCACATGGGGTTGGACTTTCTACCAACACAATGCCCTTCAAGAAATGTTCCATAGCTTTCCTAAGGATGAAAGAAAACATCAGTCTACTTTTTTACTCACATACTACCAAACAATTTATTGAGGTCAACAATAAGCCACCAAAAATCAGAGGAAAAAGCAAACTATAATATGGTTTTTGGTCTTTTATTACCTCTAATCCACATGGTATAACATATTTAACATTTTATATTACGAGTTCTTTATTTTATATATATTTTTTGCATTTTAATGCTATTTTTGTTTTTCATAAAAACCCAAGTATTTAAGAAGGTAAACAGGAGTGGGATGAGGGGCCAATTCTTGTCTGCTTACAAGATTGGATTTTTTTCCCCCTTTCTGCCTAGGGGTGGCAATTTGCCTTGATCCCTACGGGGATCCTTGCCATGCGAGACAAGGCGAGGAGGAATATTCCTCCTCGTGGGGTTGGGATGAAGGGCATTTTCCTAACGAAATTTCATGGGAAATTTTTCCCACCTCATGGGGCCTAATGAGGATCCCCATCCCCACGAAAAATTAAAAAAATATGAAAAAATATGTATAGTAATTTTATTTTAAATTTAATTTAACCTTCAAATCCAAACCCAATTTAATAAATATTAAACCTAACCCAATTTTACCTAACTCAATCCATCATTAGCCTTTTAACCCTAACCTTATTCACTTCTCCTTACTCACTCTTGGACTTTCACCTTTGACCTTCCCCTCTTCTTCTGGTTTCTACCGTCAATAGAATGAATCTCAAACCCTAAATCCCTCGATTCCCTCCACTGCCACCCTAACCTTATTCATTTCTCCTCACTCACTCTCACCTTCAACCTTCCCCTCCCCTTCTAGCTTCTATCGTCGGCAGTACGAATCTCAAACCCTAAATCCCTTGATTCCCTCCATTGCCACCCTTCTACCCTCACTTTCACCTTTGCCTTTCTCCCAACCTAAAAGCCCTAAATCCCTCCATTACTACTATTGATCTACTGTTGAAACTTCTATCGAAGCCACACTACTATTGGAGTGGACTGCTACACACTGCTGTTGTCGAATCCATTTGGACGGCTACTATTGTTGTCAAACTCAAAGCCATCTGCCATTCAATCTGTTAGACTACTAAACTTTGTCTCTGTTGTCAAACCACTTCACCTACGACTACAGGCTACAGATCCAAACGGTAAGAAGTTTAAATAATTTGTTTATGGTTGAATTAATATAGAGAAAGTTTGGATTTTCTAGAATTTACTAGATTCACTGACTGTTCATAACCATTTCTATTAGTGAATTGCCTAGTTAATTTCTTTACATATACTGACATACATATAACATAGAAAAGTGTGGTCGCTTCTCAATAAAATCAAGAAATTAAGAAAACTGTAAATGCCCAACTGTCTATTTAATTTCTAAAGTTTATTGTGAATTCTAGTGAAACTATGAAAGGGAAGAATTTCCATTAACTAAAGAAAAGTTCAAAGATTATTTTATAATGACTAATTTGGTATGAGAATTTATTTTATATTTCAATGTAAAGGCATAACTATTTTTTTAATTTATTTTTAGGTGATAAATGTCTAAAACAAAAGAGCAGAGTGTTGATCGATTATTTCAAGCTCCACCACCAATTCAAATTCCTAATGAATGAAGTGGCAGTTTTGTAGCAAGCCTAGGCCCTCTGACAACACCAACACCAACTTCATCTTTTGCTATGCCTCCAATTGTACTAAAAGAAAAAGAAGGTTGGCCATTAACAAGCATTGACTTCTAAGGTATGGGAGTCTTTTAAGAGACAAAAAATTAATGGCACATGGAAAGCACTATGCATCCATTATAGCGAAATGCTTGGTGGTGAAACTAGGAATGGGACAAAACACTTGCATGATCACTTAAAGTCTTGCCCATTGAAACGTGCTATTGACATAAGGCAAACTTTTTTTAAGGCTTCAAGGAATAGTGATGGGAAACCAAAACTCACTAATACTATTTTTAATAATGAGAACGCAAGAAAGGAACTAGCCTCTATGATTGTTTTACATGAGTATCCTTTATCGATTGTCAAGCATATTGGATTTAGAAGGTTTGTTGCTACTCTTCGACCAAGATGCAAGATGCAAGATGATTTCAAGAACTACAATCAAGAAAGATATCATCAACGTCTATCAGTAAGAAAAATCCAAAAAAATGAAGTTGTTGGAGGAAAATCAAAGTATAATTGCCATCACAATTGCCATCACAATTGACATGTGGACTTCTAATCAAAAGAGAGGTTATATGGTCATCACAGCAGATTACCTTGATGGTTCATGGACTTTGCAAAGTTGAATTATAAGGTAATAGTTTAATTATTAGGTATTTTATATGTTTAATTATTATTTTTTAGAATTATTGTTTAAATTA